CTTCACAAGAACTTCTATATTGTCATGCCGGCTTCTGTATTTGTAACTCTTTCTAAATTACTCTGTTCTCGGTTAAAATAAATCTGTCCTTGGGAATATAATTTGAACAAAGGGATTTAATGAAACTCTAAAGAGTTTGTAAATTGTTGCCATAGCTATAGTTTTCCAAAGAGACACCTATAATTGTGATTAGCTGTTTTACTTGAAATCTCTTGTCCCTGTGATAATGCTGAAACCAGCATTTCAGTATTTCTAAGCTGTATTAATATTTGAAGGATTTCTCTGCCATAGTATAAGGCAGCCATTGGCACTTACCTGTGCCTACATATATCATGGGGGGAACAATATGAGTTCATGCCTGTTAGAGTTCTTATTTTCATGAGAAGAGTGAAAGTCTATGAACTCAACACTCAGTTTGGTTGCAACTCATGAAATAAGCATCTATTTATTTAATATTATAAGCTTAACCATCATATTATTAGTGTGCTTGGAGCCAATATAATCATCATAAACAGTGCAATCACAACTAACATGGCTTTGACCAAACTGTGGGAGGTGACAAGCAGCAGAGCCAATGATATTCGGTTTGGGTTTTTTCTTTGACTGGCAGCTGACAAAGTCTGCGCAGAATTTGTAGGATGTCAACGGAGTAGTTTAACTAGCCAGAGATAAATCTTGGAAACTGAGACTTTAAGCAATCATTTACAGAAATCTTGATGTGAACCCTACCACTCAGTTCCCACTATGATCAAGATGATCAGGACGGACCATGGAAGCCTCACGTTGGCTCTACTCCACACAACCGAAATTGCAGAAGGTACGGATCACTACCAACAATAACATAAAGAAATATGGGAGTGGCAGATGGTGCAGTTTTCTATATGCTTGGGAGCAAAACTGAAAAAATAGTGAACTGAGACACAGAGGAGAGTTCACCACTGTGATAGTTTTATAGTGATAGTGTCTACTTGGCTGGGCTATAGTACCCAATTATTCAATTAAACACTAATCTGTATGTTGCTGTGAAGATATTTTGTAAATATCTTACAGAAGATATTTACAAATTTACATAATATTAACCTATTATGTAGGTTAACATCTACAATCAGTCAACTTTAAATAAAGGAGATTATCCTTGGTAATGGAGGTGGCCCTCATCCGATCAGTTAAAAAACAGTAAGAGCAAATCAGAGGCTTCTCCAGGGAATAAGAAATTCCATTTCAAGACTAGGACATCAGCTTTTGCCTGCCCTACAGATTTTAGACTTGCCCATTCCCACCCACAATTATCCAAGCCAATATACATATTCTCCTACTAGTTTTGTTTTTTTTTTTTCCTGGACTTTGTTTCTCTGATATAACCACTGAAGAAAAGACTGGAAGCTGGAACTATTATAGAACTGTCAGAAAAGAACCCCCAGTAGAAAGATTTCCAGAAACAAAATAAAAGCCTTCCTTGTAATAAATATGGCTGAAAAATTTGAAGCAGCCAAGAAAGGCCTTCAAAATCTATAAAACAAAGGGAAATTTTTGTAAACAAACACCGAGGAGAGCAAATGTGGACAGACCTCCAAGTAGTTGGATTAAAGCCCACTTTGGAAGTGTAGGATGGGACCTGTGACTTCCAAGGATGCCCTAGGATCTGGCCATCCAATCCTGGGTGTGTGATGAGGATGAAATAGGAGCAGAAGGCATCCCAGTTTGTTTCATTTCTGAATATTCAGGCACAATTGTTCATGTTTCCAAACTCCTCTTCAGAGCAGAAATCTACTCTTACTTCTAATGGGGAAAGGGTGATCTCTGAACTTGGATAAGAAAATAAATGTTAATTTTGAAAAAGATGTTACTGAAGTTTTGTGTTTTCTTCCATTATGAATGTAAGCAATAAATCACAGTGGTATTTAAACTCTCATGAGTATCACTATTGGAAAACACAAATATTTTCACATCAAAATATAGTTGTTACAAATTCCTTAAAATATCATGTATATTCATTACTGCTTTGAGATTATACTGTTTTTTTGTTTTTGTTTTTTTGAGACAGTCTCACTTTGTTGCCCAGGTTAGAGTGAGTGTCGTGGCCTAGCTCACAGCAACCTCAAACTCCTGGGCTCAAGCAATCCTACTGCCTCAGCCTCCTAAGTAGTTGGGACTACAGGCATGTGCCACCATTCCCGGCTAATTTTTTCTATATATATATATATATATATCAGTTGGCCAATTAATTTCTTTCTGTTTATAGTAGAGACAGGGTCCGGCTCTTACTCAGGCTGTTTCGAACTCCTGACCTCTAGTAATCCTCCCACCTCAGCCTCCCAGAGTGCTAGCATTACAGGCATGAGCCACCAAACCCGGCTGAGATTATACTATTTATGAGAACTCCCAGGCCCCTGCTGGATATTATCATTTAGTGTAATAATAAAGGATCACACAAATATTACTATCTCATAATCTTAAAATGTTTTGGTAACATATTTCAACATAATTGGTCTCCTTTTGAAATCTTATGTATTAAGTTTTTATATTGAAAAGTATCATTCTGAAGTGGAGTCCATAATCACCACACTATCCTAGGAGTCCATAGTCTAAAACTTGAGAAGATCCATATTGTATTGTCTAGGAAGGAATCTATAACTGTGTCTACCTTAACGTTTATGCAGAAAGCAGAGTATTTTTTGTAAGGGCTTTGGAAACCTTATAAACTGAAAACAAATATTTTTTAATCTCAAAGTGTATATTCACAATATCAGGCAGTTTTACTTCTGTTCAGCCCTCAACTTATTTACAGTGCTACCAGGCATGGGATAATGATTTCTTCTAAGAAATATAGAGACTGAAACACATCTGAGACACTTGTTTGCTTTCAAAGCATGCATACGAGTTGATGATGCTCTTTTCAGAGGCGTAAACTTCAGAGATACAGGCCTTGTGGTAGGAGCAGCATGCAGTGAGTGTGCCTAGAACAGTCTTGCTTAGTAACTGCTTGAAAAAAAATTTTTTTTAAACGACCCACAGAGAGCCAAAAAAGTCAGATAATTTCCTATAGAGTACTAGCCAAAGTCCTTACAAGGGTCTACAACAGTGGTCCCCAACCTTTTTGGTACCAGGGACCGATTCATGGAAGACAATTTCTGGGGGGGGGGTGTTCAGCGGGAGATGGTTTCGGGATAATTCAAGCGCATTACATTTATTGGTCACTTATTATACAACTCACTATAATGCAGAATCTAATACCGCTGCTGATCTGACAGAAGGCGGAGCTCAGGCGGTGATGCCAGCAACCCGGAGCAGCTGAAAATACAGATGAAGCTTGCGTTGGCTCTCCCGCCCGCTCCTCCCCTGCTGTGCGGCCAGGAACAGGCGGCAAACCAGGGTTGGGGACCACAGGTCTACAAAGCCAAAGGTGATCTCCCAGGGTTTCCTATCTCGCTCCACTCAGCACCAGCTTTCTCAACATTATTACTCCCAAGCCGGCTCCTACCTCCAGGCCTTTCCCTTGGCGATTTTCTCCTGTTGCAGATCACTATTTCCCCCCTGATATTCTCATTTCTCTCTCGTTCATCACCTTCACTGCTGGACTTTCATATCCCCTTTCCCTGTTTTATGTTTTTTTTCTCCAGGCGCTTATCACCATTATTTTATTTATTTCGCGCTTTATTATCTGTCTCCACCGCGGCCAGGGAGTCGCACCTGTTTTCTTCATGGTTGCATCTCCAGTGCTTTGAACAGCAATACAGATTGCATGAATGACCTCATGAATGGAAAGGAGATACTGTGGCAGAGAGGGTGTGGAGTTTGCCTTTCACAACCATTTTTCAGCCTGCAGAGACAGACCAAGAGAGGAGTAAAGACAATGGCGCGTGTGCACAAGTAGCCCCCAGAGAGACCATATGCTACGAGCCTAGATAAAACCAGCAAACGCGACTTTCAGCCACAGCCCAGACGTTGCAGGTGGGGCCAGTGCCGCAGACTAATTTCTTATGAAGGCATATCTGCCGCCATATTTCTCATGTGCAGGGCCAGTGACGCAATGGATAACGCGTCTGACTACGGATCAGAAGATTCCAGGTTCGACTCCTGGCTGGCTCGGTGTGCAAGGGCTTGTTTTATTTCTTTCCCTTCCCAATTGTACTGGAGTTCAATGGATTAAGAAAATTCATGCACGGTAAAGGTTGCCTAGAAATATCGGAAGCAAAAGTACCCGGCTTTTGATCACAGGAGTCATCACTTCTTTGCAGAGCAAATTCCACGTCCGACCATGTGGTGGCGCTAACCAAAGCGTAGCTAGAGAAACGTTCGCCGTCCCCAAATTGTGTCCCCCTTTTCAGTCCATTTTGACTATTTGGGCCGGTCGGTGGCTCACGACTATAATCCTAGCACTCTGGAAGGCAGAGGCAGGAGGACTGCTTGAGCCCAAGAGTTTGAGGTTGCTGTGAACTAGGCTGATAGCACGGCACTCTTGCCTGGGCGACACACCGAGACTCTGTCTCAAAATAGATAAATTAATAAGTTTGAAGTAACCTATTAAGCAAAGGGGAAGACAGCAAAATCTTCAGGTTGAGCAATAATAATAATGAAGGGTTATTCAGAAACAGTAAAATCTCTATTTTGTTCTTTCTCATCTAGTCACATTTGTAGAATAAATTATTAAGGATTTGCCTTCAGGTCTGAACCCTGCAAGGGGTTAGTCTGTGCTTTGGTTGTCTGGTTTGAGAGGCCGGTAAGGATGCGCATGCGCACACTGACACCAGACACCGTTACCAGGACAGGGAAAGAGGGTGTTACACAGAGTGAAGTGCTGACTTGGGCAATCCCATTTCTGAAGTTTCCGTAGTGTAGTGGTTATCACGTTCGCCTCACACGCGAAAGGTCCCCGGTTCGAAACCGGGCGGAAACAGCCTTCGTTTTACCTCACAAAACCGGTTACTGAATATTTTTTAAAAGAATTCCATGCCATCATAAATTTCCTGTCTTGCTAGATCAGGGCCTCAGTGCTGGTGCTGTGCCGCTCTGGGTGGGTCCAGAGTCCGTGGGCCTCGGAGGCGGACCCACGTATCACAAGAGGGAGAACCGGAGGCTCTCCCGAGCTCAGACGCGGGGCGGCCCGCCGCCTGCAGCCCCGGAAGCGCATCCCCGCCTCCCCTCGCCTTCCTGTTGCCGGCGGTGCCCGGTGGTGCCCGGCTCCGCTCGTCCTCACTGTCCCAGCGCCTGCGCTGGCCCGGCCCAAGTCGAGCGCAGCAGTGAGTCCAGGGCCGCAGCTGGGACTCCCGAGCCCCTCAAACGGCCACGAGACTCGGGTAAGTGTCTCGCAGGCCTCATGTCTCATGTGCTCCTCCGGAAAAGGGGCGGGGGGCGGTTGGTGGTCCCGCCGCCCTCCATATACTTGGTATCCTCTTGCGATGTGGCCTTGGTCGTAATTAGCGGCCTTGGCCTCCGACGGCCCTGTCTTGCCCTCTCATCTTGAGACCAACCGCAATATATCTTCGAGCTCCGAGTGTGAATCCCTGGAATAGGCAGAATCCAGGAGATGGGGGAACACAGAAATACGTAGGCTGGACAGGGATAAGACCCCATGGGCGCTTTAGGGCAGATAAAAGGAAAAAGAGGAGAGGATTTGAAAAGATTGAGCTCACCGGACTGTGGCCTTGAAGAGGTTGTGGCGGGTGGACTGAGCTTGTCCTGGGCTCTCCTTCGCTTCCCAATGTACAGGGCGTCGCCTTCGGAAACCTCCATTGAGAGGACACCGAAGGGGCTAGTCTTCCTTCACTTTGACCTTCTGCTATCCCAGTCAAAAAGAGAAAAATAGATCCCAAAGTTAAGAAATGGCCGAACTGTCGATTCTGCGTCTTGCCTTGCAGCTCGAGAAAAGTCATTGGCAGCACCTGTTTAAAATCAGGACTTGTGCTCTGGTGTTTGGCTGTGGACCTCTGCCTGACACTTGTCTTGCTTACAAGTTAGTTGGATCAATCAAACGCTTTTATAGGAAAGAAGTCTTGATGTGCCACCTGACGGCCCCAGGTGTATCCTCAGTATTTCTTCATTTTATCATTTTCTTAAACAGGATGTTTGGATAGGGATTGCCTGTCCCAAACCTATAACTCCTTAACTTCATAACTTCTCTGAAAGACCCATGCTTTTATCATCTTGCTGGTTCCCTTAACAAGATAATATTTTAGCTAGCAAGATAATGTCCTGGTTAGTAAGACAATATGGCTCAAAAGCAATTTGTCTAATACATTTTTATTTAAAATCTCTTCTATACCACTCAGAAAAACAGCCCCAGAAACGCAAGGTAATGTGGTTCCCTGCAAGAGGGCAAGATCACTGGGGCCAGGGAGGTGGCAGGGATTTATTCTCTCCATCTTTCTATGATGCCAATCGGCAGCAGTACTTTAGCCCAGAAGCTGTACCCCTGACCAACCTTTGCAGGTGGGTGACAGTTTGTTTGGGGGGCCTATGGGTTCACTCCTCTTTAAACCAGATATAAGATGCAGCAGCAGCCCTACCCTTTCATAGACACCCTGCCCATTACCCTTCCTTTCAACATCTGCCTCCCCAATCTCTCACTTAACCTCAAATGGAAGTTCATGCTGTGTCGGTAATACTTTGGAAGATGGAGAACTAGTAGGCCCTGAAAAGTGACTGATAGCATGTGACCTCTTGTTCCTGTAGCATATTGCATTTTGTATATGAATCTCTTCCTTTTAATATATCCTTTATTGTCTCCTTCGTAAGTTTAGCATTAGTAACCTTCTTCCAAACCAAAGGCACTATCTCTCCATAAGTAAGTCTTGGTCTTCCCTCCAACCCAAAGACACTATCTCTCCATAAGTAAGAGGCAGGGAAGAAGAGAGTAGCTTTCTGATTTGCGGGAAGGGATTAAGGCTAGAATCCAAGTTAGAACTACCTCCTGGAAATCCAGTTTAGTATTCATTAGGGGAGCAAAATGATGCTGCTAAAATGGAGCTTGCATCTGTTTGCTGGTGGGAGTGAGTACTAGATGAGGTTGGTCCACAGACACCTAAGACAGACTTGCTATGAAAGAAAAAAACAGAAAACAAAAGATTTTGAGAACATGGGCAAGATCTCAAAATTAATCTAATCCAAGATGTGTCCCAGGTCACCAAGTTCTTACACTATTCCCTACCGTGTTAGTCTGCTATGGCTGCTATAACAAAGTACCACAGACTGGGTGGTGTAACCAACAGAAATTAATTTCCTCACAGTTCTAGAGGCTAGAAATCCAAGATCAGGGTGTCGACAGGGTTGGTTTCTTCTGAGGCCTCTTTCCTTGGCTTATAGATGGCCCACCTCCTCATTATGTTCTCACATGTGTCCCTCTGTGTTGTCTGTGTCCTACTAATCTCCTCTTCCTATAAGAATAGCAGTCATTTTGGATTAGGGCCCGCCCATAAGACCCCAGTTTACCTTAATTACTTCTTTCAAGACCCTATTTTGCTTTTCATCTCACTGTTAGGCTTTTTTTTAAATCTATTTCTGCCAATTAATTTAAACTTCACTGCTGTATTTTGGCATTTGACACATGGGGATCATGTCCCCCCTACTTGGGATGGATTACAAGGGATATAATTTGAAGAAGACTAAAACCCTAACACATAGGAAACAGATTGTGTGATCATTCCCACACAAGGAGATGGGCTGAGAAACACAATTTTGGAGTAAGATGGAAGGAGAATGGTATGGAATGTCCATTCTTTAAGGAAGTGTGTCCTAGATCAAAAGCTCACTCTTATGGTTAAACACTGTCATTCTCTTAACATAAAGGTCTCTAAGAATATATGCAGACTATTTAGTATAACCTTAATATTTATTGTCTGAGTTGGGACACTCTTTGAGAGTAAAAGGGAGCTTTTTTTTTTTTTTTTTTAAGGGACAAGGTCTTGCTCTATAGTCCAGGCTAGAGTGCAGTGACTCAGTCATAGCTCACTACAGCCTTGAACTCCTGGGCTCAAGTGATCCTCCTGTCTTGGCCTCCGAAAGTGCTTGGATTATAGGAGTGAACCACCATACCTGGCAGAGCATTATTAAAAACTATACTAAGGCAACAGGTGTAAATCAAGTCACCCTTCTATTATACCAGATGATTTTCATGCCATAAAATGTCTCTCAATATTGGTTCCTTTGTTGTAAAAATAAATATCTTTCTCCTACCCATTTCTTTCTGGTCACACTGTTACCATACCCAAAGCTGACCTATATGATCTCTGGCATCCTTCTCAATTATTTTCTTTAAAAATTATTTTTCTTTATTGTGTCTGAAATTGCATTTTTTTAAAAAAACTTTTGTTTTCTAAGAATTATGAAAACATTTACTTAGAGTGTGTGTAGGGGAGAGGCAAAGGGGCAAAAATTAGGCATAAATTCACCTAATTTCTAAAGAAGAATGTTTTCCTACGAGAACAGGTCAGGCGTAGCTGGATTGGAACTGCAGTGTGTCTCAACAGCAACAGAGAAGTCAGTGGCACAGCTACTTTTTGACCCCTCAGTAATTCAGTCTCCCTGAAAAAAAGGCAAGGGAAAGCACAGAGAAGAGAAGGATGCAGCTAATTTCACATTAGCTTTCCAGTGAAGAGCTGTTCAACATTTAAACAGAACTGTTTCATTATAATCCTTGTTCCCAGAGTGCCTTACAAAGTACCAAGGGAAATAATGACGACTAGTTCAAGGCACACTCCCACTTTGGTTCTTCCCTCTTCTTTATACTATCTTTCCCCTCCGTTCCATAAGAAGGAAAGAAAAATGCAAAATTTTCAGAAATTCTAGTTATAATGAAAAATTGGGGGGGTGGGGAATGGATAATTGAATGTTTTAGCATGCTTAACAGCAGTTATTCTGTTAGCCTTGGGAATTACAAATCATATCTAAGTTTGCTCACATATGACAATGTTTGCCCAGTATATTTAGATGTGAGGGCCAGCAAAAAATCAAAACTCTGGAGTAATTTAGAAACAAGATAATTGTTTTTCTTAAAATATAATATTGTGGAGTGGGGGCAGCTAACAGTGTTACAAAATTTCCCAGGAAATGTTTTTAAGGGTGGAGCAGAAGGTCTGAGTAGCTAATCTTGGCCAAAAGCTTAAAAAAAAAGTCATAAGAGCCCATGATTGCCAGCCATAGGCCCAGGTTCTAATTACTCAAACTCAAAATAAATCTTTTCTATTCCTACCTATATGGCTCTGAATTTGTGCTCTCGAGTACGCATATTTTAAAAATATTTTTATTCTTCAACAGATACAATTTTTATATGTAAGATAGAGAGAACACATCAGCCATGTGCTTCCCTCCTCTTCAGTTGAAGGAAGAGAATGCCACTCCTACCTCCTTATCTCTGGACTAAGCTCCATACCCCCTGCCCTCTCCAAACATGTCCCTTTCCCAACCCCAGGAATCAGAGGTAATCCCTGTCCCAATTTTTATATTTATCCCTTTTATTAATTTTACTACTTGCTTGTACCCTAAACATGACATTATTTTACACATGTAAATGGATCTATACATATTTTTCTATAACTTGCTTTTTTTTGCTCAACATTTTGTTCTTGTGATTCGTCCTTGTTTTTGCATTGTAGCTATAATAACTATTTGTTTCTGCTGCTGAATAGTATTCCCTTTTATAGATATTACCAAAATGTATTTATCCATTCTACTATTGAAAGACATTCGAATGGTTTACAGTTTTTTGAAATTGCAGTGTTACTATAAACATTCTTGTAGGGGTCTTCTGTGCACACCTCCATAAATCCCTCTAAGTAAACATCTAGAAGTAAAATTGCTTTACATAGGCCGGGCGTGGTGGCTCACGCCTGTAATCCTAGCTCTCTGGGAGGCCGAGGCGGGCGGATTGCTCGAGGTCAGGAGTTCAAAACCAGCCTGAGCAAGAGCGAGACCCGTCTCTACTATAAATAGAAAGAAATTAATTGGCCAACTGATATGTATATAAAAAATTAGCCGGGCATGGTGGCGCATGCCTGTAGTCCCAGCTACTCGGGAGGCTGAGGCAGAAGGATCGCTCGAGTCCAGGAGTTTGAGGTTGCTGTGAGCTAGGCTGACGCCATGGCACTCTAGCCTGGGCACCAGAGTAAGACTCTGTCTCAAAAAAAAAAAAAAAAAAAAAAATTGCTTTACATAATACCACATTGTTTTCCAAAGTGAATACACTAATTTGCACACATACACCCCCACCCATCACTACATAAGGGTTTTGATTGGTTGACATCTGCTGAGCCATTGATATTATCAGACAACTTAGTTTTCATAAATTTGATGGGTATAAAATGTTATATCCTATGGTTCTCCTATTACATATTTTATGTGCTTATTCCCCATTCATGCTTCTTCAAACTACTTGTTAACACTTTTGCCCATAGTTTTAAATTTTTCATTTTGTCTTTTTCTCATGGATCTGTAGGAATTCTTTGTTTATTTTTTTTTATAGAGATGGGGGTCTTACTACTATGTTACCCAGGCTGGTCGCAAACTCCTGGCCTCGAGCTATCCTATGTTAGCCTCCCAAAGTGTAGGATTACAGGCATGAGCCACCTGGCCCAGCCCAGGAATTCTTTATATATTCTGTATTCTAATCCTTTGTCAGTTATATATGTTACAAATATCTTTGCACAGTTGGTAACTTATTATTTTACTTTTATGCTATCTTTTTGATATATACAAGTTATTAATAATATAGCTAAATTTGATTTTTAATGTTAAATTTGTCTGTCTTTCCCTTTATGGGTTACACTTTTTATGTCTTGCTAAAGAAATCTTTCCAGGAGCAGTGTAAGGAAGATAAGCACCCCTTGGACTGGCAAAGCCACCTGCCAAGCACTGCAGCCACCATGCCCAAGAGAAAGGCAAAAGGAGATGCTAAGGGTGATAAAGCGAAGATGAAGGATGAACCACAGAGGAGATCAGCACGGTTGTCTGCTAAACCTGCCCCTCCAAAACCAGAGCCCAGACCTAAAAAGGCCCCTGCAAAGAAAGGAGAGAAGCTGCCCAAAGGAAGAAAAGGAAAAGCAGATACTGGCAAGGATGGGAACAACCCTGCAAAAAACCAAGATGCCTCTACAGTCCAGTCCCAGAAAGCAGAAGGCACTGGGGATGCCAAGTGAATGTATGTTTTTGATAGCTCTCTACTTCTAATGACTCTAGTGTTTGAAATGCTATTTTTTTTAAGTCAAGTTTTATAAAAATGTAGGATTGGGTTTTATTTTTTTTTAAGTTATGTTGTTAGCACCCAGGACACTTTGTTGTTTTTTGTGGAAAGGGCAAATACCACTAATAGAGTGTATCTCAGAAACTGAATTGAAATAGGGGAAAACAGGATTTTCTGTTTTGGTTTTTGAAGATTGTTCTTGGTTCCCAGGAGAAACTCTCTGACATTCACATGTTAGCCACTTTGGCACAGAAGCCTTACAGTGTGGGGAAGCTAAACTTCATGTCTTCTCCTTCCCTGATGCCATCAGCATAGACCTAGCCTTGCCACCCCTAAAATTAACTGTGTTAGGTAACAAAAAACTCAGGCTCTCAGGTGATGACATTGAGATATTGTCATTCAAAAGAGTCAAGATTCCTATTTTTAGTTCATAGATTCATCCTGTGTTGAACTCTGCAGGTTTTAGTTCATTTCCTCCATGTCAGAGTTGGACTGTGAAAAGCTTATAGATGCCTCATGTGAAGTGTCCACCACTCTGAAAGCCTTTCCTGTTCAAAGCAGCAACAAAAGATGTTGACTTTTTACAGTGACTTTTTCAGGAGAGGAGTTTGGAAGTTATAAAATGTTATAGGTTGTCACCTATGTCCTGCTAGAAGTAACTGTTTTTGAAAAGTATCTTATAAAACTGAATATAATTGGCTTGGGGAGATCATTTCCTACCCAAAGTCATAAAGATATTCTTTACTGCCTTGTAAAAGTTTTGTCGTTTTGCTTTTCACGTTTGTCTGTAGTCTGCCCTGAACTGATTTTTATGAAAAGTATGAGGTAGAAGTTCAATTTAATATTTTTTCCCATATGGATAAGTGCTTGTCTCAGCACTATTTACTGAAAAGTTCAACCTTTCCCCACTGATCTGTAACACTGGCTCTTTCATAAATTAAGTTTTTCGTATGTGTGTAGGTCTGTTGATGGTTTCTATTCTGACTCACTTGTCAATTTGTCTAACCTTGTGGCAGAACTATACAGTCCTAATTACCACAACTTTAGAAAAATATCTTGATAAAAACCGAAATGCCTGCACATTTTGTCATAGTGTTGACCAATTTCTCCTCTATCTCCAACATTACCACTGATTTTCTTTTCCTTGTGAGTGTCTTGGCCATTCATAGGCATTTGCTCTTCCATACAACTTCTATGATTATATTGACAAGTTCTAAATCAAACAAACCAAAAACATGTTGGAATTTTGATTGTATTTGTATTAAATTTATAAATTAATTTGGTGAGCCAAGTCATCTTTGCAATGTTGTCTTCCAGTCCATAAATGTGTTATAGCTCTCTATTTAGGCTTTTTAAATATCTTTCAATAAAGTTTTATAATTTTCTCCATAAATGTCTTTTGTTAATATTTCCTAGGAACTTCCTAAAACGTTTATATGCTATATTTTTAGTTATTACATTTTCTGTTTTTAGCTAATGTTGGTTTTAATTTTTGTAACCAGCAACCTTACTACCTCTAATTAATACTCATATCTGTAAATTCTTGTGTGTTTACTATATAGACAACCATATATTTTGTACATATTTTGTTTATTCTTAGTCCTTATACATTTTATTCCTTTTTCTAATGTTAGGCATAGTCCAGATGCTGGAGATAACAGCAGTAAAAAAAAAAAAAAAGTCTTTGCTTTCTCAAAGCTTATGTTCCAAATGGAGAGGGGGGAAAGGGTAGAAAGTACACAAATTTATGTGACAAAAAGCTTTAAGTAAAGAAGTGTAGGTGGGTGCTATTTAGAGTGATTAGGGAAGTCCTCCAATGAAACAACATTTGAACAGAGCCCTAATTAAGTAAAAGAACAAAAGATGTGAATCTGAGGGGAAAGCATTCCAGCAGAGGGAATAAATAGCAAGTGCAAAAAGATGAGGTGAAAATGTATTTGGCATGCTGAGGAAGAACAAGGAAGCAAAAACAACTGAACTGGAGTGAGGGTGAGGAAGAGTGATAGTTGGTACGATTGCAGAGATAGCCAGGGCCAAAAAATGAAGGATTTTTGCAGCCTATACATTTTCTCTGAAAGTAATGGAATGCTATTATAGTTTTGAGCAAAGAAATGACGCAATCTAAGGTGGTGTATACATATGTATGTATGCCTGTAAATATATGTATATATGTGTGTGTATGGCTGCTGCACGGGCAATAAACTATAAAAGGCTACGTGTGGAAGGAGGAAGACCAGTTAGGCAGTTGTCACAAAAGTCCAGGCAAAACATGTTGATGACCTGGACCTGGTAGGGAGCTGTGGAGGAGAGTGAATTGGATGTGAAGTGTGAGAGAGTTGGCAGTAAATAATGAATGCCAAGCTTGGATGATTGCTTAACCTTTCTGAGCCACAGTTTCCTCAGTAGCAAAGCAAGAAATCACACCTATTTTGCAAAGTTTCTAAAAGAATTAGAGATACTATCTGGAACTGATTAGCATTATAATTTACCCAGTTAGCATACTGATGCATAAAGCTCTGTTGGAAATTTGAAAAAAAATAATTCATATTTACCAAGATCTTATGACTACTGAAAACTGAAAAGAAAAACAAAAAAAATTACTCTGCAAAACAGGGCCAGGGCCAGGCCTCTCCATATGAGGCCCTTACTAAACCCAGTAGTGTATATACTAAAACTGGAATTACATAATTTCAACAATATTTCCCTTTGTAATAGTGAATTGCTGGCAATTCTGCTTTGTCCTGCTGTGTCACTATGCTTCCTCTGCTGAACTATTGCCATTCCATTTTCTTTGGTAAACAACAAACATTTATCTGTACTTTCTCTTTGGTAGACAACAAATCAGGATCAAAGATAAAAGAAACATTCTCTGTCTTCTGAGCTCAAAGTCAAATGTGGTAGAGAGATAGGCCACCACACAATAGTGTGCTTTGTGTTGTCGGTAACACTGAAGAAGACTAGAACCCTGATGCCAGAGCATGAAGGGGTCTTAGGGAGGACTTCCTGGAGCTTGTTGACACCTGAACAGCAAAATAAAAACATATAGTAGGTGATCAGACAAGAAGTGGGGAAAAGGCTTCTAGAAAGAGTAATAACATTTGCAAAGATGTTAAGAGAATATGGTACATAGTAGTCAATGAAGTATTTGTTGAATCAAAAAAATGATTAGAATGAATCGTCAAACATGCTTTTGACTATAATAAGGAAAATTGTTATTATGTGTTAATATTTGCTAAACACTGTGCATGCCCAGTGATTTACATGCATAATTTTATTTCCACAACCCTTCCTGTTGAATGATATTATTCTGATTTAACTTTACATTTAGTTAAATTGAGGCAAACAGAGATTAAGTAATTTTCCATGAGGTCATACAGTGAGTGGTAAAAGACCCAGGTAGGTCTATGACTCCAGGGCCTGCAAGTCCCTGTTGCTGAAAAAAATTGCTCCCTGGAATAAATGTCAAATGTAACTCCTCCCAAAAAATAATTTGGTGTTTCTGAGTAAACTGAGTAAGGAATTTCTAAGATATTAGGAAACCATCAAATGCAAGAAATGACGATATTCTACAAGCTAAACAGTTAAAATTTCCAGCAAAGGTTAGTAATGAGATGACAATAAATTCCAGGGGAAAAAGTGGTCATAAAATTTAGAATTTTAGTACATCTTCTGCACAAGATGCTAATTTTTTAGATAGAAATATTCTTCTGGATAGGAGCCCATGAAATCTAAGGAAAAATTTTTAAAAATTCCTGAAGTGGGGAAAAGTAAATTAGGAAATCATAAGTCAATCTTTAAACCATTTTGCTCACTTTCCTGATCCATTTGGCATTTATAGTCCTACCTGTAAATTTACAAATTAACATCCTGGCTTATAACTACTTTGAGAAGTTCAGTGTCTGACATGAATCAGCCTGAGTGATCCAGAGTTTTTAATATAAAATTTCTGATCCTCAAATCTGAGACATTAGACCTGGAGGACTTGGAAAGAAAAGGGAAGGAAATTTATTTTTCTGTATCCGCCCTTGTTCCACTACATTCTTTTCTCTGCAGTGGTTACAATGATCCTCATAAAATGTACCTCATTCCTCTCAAACCCTCCAGCGGCTTCCATCCTGGGTCATACAAGTGACCTACAAAAGCCCTGCTTGAACCGCCCAACCGCCTAGCCTTCCAGCCGCTCGGTGCTAGGAAGCGCCTCCGACCCCATCTAGGCCGCTGGGAGATCGCACCTCGGTGTCACCTCGCACCGGGCCACTCTGGATTGCGTCCACATTCCCCAGCGGGGTAGGGGATCCTGGGACCCAACGTTCTTTCCAGGCGTTTCTCCTCAGACCTCCCGAAGACCTTGCTTTGGCTTCAAGGCTTCAGGCCCTGGCTCAAACAGCCCTGGGAGGTCTCTCCTGAGATTGTAAATGTCTGCGGGCCTTCTTAACCTCTTAGGTGCCAGGGAGCCCTCTGGCCCCAGGATGAAACCGTTCTCAGAATTACATTTTTTGAGACACACAAAAAAAATACATAGGATTACAAAGAAAACCAATTACACCAACCAAAACAGTTATCAAACAATTAAAATAATTCATGATACAGTAATGTGTATGCTTCTTCATTAATGTATTAAACATTAAACATCAAGACCTGCCTTTTGATCACCATAATTTCAAAACAAGTACTGGATATTTGTAACAACCTACTGTGATTTTTCGTTGCTTACCTGTATAAGCGAAGGAGATGTTAAATTTTAGTTCTAGGTTACAGATTTTAAAGATGTAAAATTTTTTTCTGCATCCAACTTCAGCAGCCCCTGTGTTAAGAAACTCTGCAAAAGTGCTTAACACACAGTGTTTGACACATTGAAAGTCTTCCATAAATGTAGGTTTTAGTAATTTTTTTTCTGCCTACTACTGACTTGAGAAAGATTTTAGTAATATTATCATTACTTTTCTTGTACCTGCTCAAATTTCTTTTAGGTGATCATGATGGACTTAATCACATGACGTCTTTGAGAGTTAAAGACTTCAAGACTACTCCCTCCCAAGTGTCACACACTCCTCGTACTAGTATGCCTTATTTAGGGGACAATAATTTTGAGACAGATGAGGAGAGAAACACCCATGTTTATCACCTCTGACAGGTACTCCTTG